GATCAGTGCTACCATTTCCACCCAGAGTCCAGTCACCTGTGGCATAGATGTTTCTTTCCTCCTCCTGTATGTCAAAGTACAAATGACCAATTTAACACTTCGACAAAGGGGTATAAACACCAGCGCCTTAACGTTCCCTCTTCGAAGTTGTCACCTTTTATACAGAAAGGCTTGACTGCATAGTGCTTGCAAAGTAGGTGCCATATTTAGTTGATGGGAAGGACAGTACTATATTATCCCAATTTCTTCTCCTTTTGGTCATGGAATATCTTTAGGGAGACTTTGGTTGCCTTCTCTCCTAGTGAAAAAAAATATTTTCTGTAGCTCTAAAGCCATAAGGATATAGTTCCCTCTTAAATTTTCTTTTTATACAAATCAACACCTTTTTCTTCTTGTCTAAACTAAAATAAAACAAGATCTCTTAAACCTTTCAGTCCACTCTTTCTGTAGTTGCAGTACTGATGATCTACTGATTAGGTCTTCATTTAAAAAATAATAGCTGTTAATAAAACATCAAATTAATAATCCATCTCATGATCGCAACTTACAGTTAGAGGACTAGTTTAGGGGAATAATCAAATAGTTTAAACATAAGCAGCCAAACATTATTTAGAAGATCTCTGTTCATGTCCGCCACTGAAATATACAGTAAATCAAATCCATTTTGTGCTGTCAGCACTGGATATAAATCTAAAAGTCATAATGGTATTAGCAATTTAGTCACCAAGAAGTTTCATTCAGAGCAGCTGGACATCTGGAGGATGCATGCTTAGCCAACGTAGTCAAGAATTCCTTCAAGGGCTAGTCTCTTCTGCAAGTAACATGAAATCAGAAAAGCAAGTATAAAGGCAAGTGACTGAGAAATAAATTTAAAACATGTTGACTCCATTTTGACCTTAGCAGAAGTTCAACAGGAATTCTGCCTCTTGATGTAAGGGCTTACGGCACAGCCTGAGTAAGTGACAAGATGGCACACTCCATTAATCTTGTCTTTTGGCAGTTTGTTGGATCCTAACGGTTCAAACATTAAAGGAAAAGCAAGGATGATATTTGAAAATAATGCACACACAATCGTCCAGAGAATTAAGCTGGTTTAAAGATAATAAAACACAGACTGAGCATGTTTGAAAGCTGCACTGATGGTCTGTGTTGGGAAAGGGCAACTTTTTTATTCTAGTATTCAGTATCACTTCAACAATTACTGCTACTTTCTACTTATATGGAGACCTCTCATTTGTACACTTCAAAGCACTGAAGGTAAAAAGTAATCATCAACTTCATTTTATCAAGGGATAACAGTATTTAAACTATGTATAAGGTCGTATAATGAGGTAGCTCAGTCGAGAGAATTTGTGGAAAAAGATCATGAGACAAAAAACGGTAGAGAAGAGGGGGAGAAAAAACAAAAGCCCAGTAGCTCTGTTACCCTAAGCCTCTGTGTCATGAGCTTGACAGCAAGTAGATTGGCACTTTTTCCAAGGACCCTTATACATATTTGGGGCTCTGTATATTCTTTCAGAGCTCAGGAACGAGGGAAATGCTGCACTGCATAAGGTAAAAAGCCCATCTTGGCCCTGTCTTCAGCAGTGCCCACTAAAAGGTGCTTGGGGAAATCACAGTATCTGAGACTTTTCTGGAGTGATAGTTGTTCCTGTTTCTACTCTCAACATTGAGCAGTAAGCAGTTGAGGGAGTTTTGCGTACCAGCAAAATTTTAAATAATGTGTCTTCCTTTACATTTTCCAAACTTTTTTTTGAAACCACATTAATGTTTTTAGCTTTTGCAACACTGTGTTTCAGTGAACATCACAATTTCATTATGTCTATGTGTGATATATATGTGTTGTCTGTGTTGTATTCCATTCCTTTAATTTTTTCTCTATTTCTTAAGATTATTACCTTACAAAACACTTTGATTTTCAGTGATGGTGTTTCAAACTATTTATTGTACACCATTCCATGCTAAGCTCTACATATTGAAAATTTTCAAAATTATATTTAATTTCTTTTTATTGTCCCCAGGCAGAAAGAGCAATATTAGGATAATTAGTTTTCATTGATCTCAAAGGTCTGAAATCCAATTGTAAACAAGATGGCCAATTACAACTCATGTTTTCATGGAAAAAAATGACTTAAACACTTAGCTGGTTACCATGCCACTTTATAGTTCCCATCTTGGTGTTCCAAAGGTAATGGCAAACATTATACAGCATGACAACTTTGCTTTGGTAGCATGGCTGTGTTACAGCAATACAGAACAATGTCTTATATGCATTCTGGTTTTGTGTGTTTCTCTCATAATTATGCCCTGAAATAAATCTCTTCGAAGTACAGTGCTTAGAGGAGATTATGAAAATTACATCACCTGTAATTAATATGCATAATTTATGGGTATGCAAACTCCACTCGCTTTTTGTAATGTATTACAAACACACTATTGTTAAAGGCCAATGTAGTTAACCTGAGGGGACAGGGTGTAATGGGGTTGATGGGTTTACCCTAACCCAAATAACTATGATGGCTGAACACAATTTTGTCATGTGACAGAGAACTTTATTTAATGTTATTGTTAATTCAGTTTCCATTAACTTACCTGTAAATGTATTTTAGTGAATCAGAGTTTAAAATATTATTTTAGTGAATCAGATATTAAAATTACTTCAGAATTGATATATCATGTCCTGGTTTTTTTCTTGTTCATTTGTATTTTCTGTTCTTTCTCTCTCTTACATGCTGCAGTTGCAAACATATTGTGGCGAGAGCAAGGTACTAATACAGATGGCTTTTTTTCATGTTCTCTATGTTACAATGAAATGCTTATCTATTGTTTCTTTTGTGTGTGGAGCTTTTTTGTTCATATTCTACAGTTACAGTAATTACCTCCCCCCTTGAAACATTTGAGGGGTTTGATTTAAAGGAAAAATAAAGTGGAAAAAAATCCTTTAAATGCTCATGCTTTTTTGAACTGCTTTTCCTTTTGGGGAGAGAGAAGGAAATAAGCTGTTCAGAAATTTCAGTCAGTTACTCAAAGGGATACAACAAGAAGCTCAGATTTAAAATGTAGACCTCTAACTTTTGATGTTTGCTGACATGATAAATCTTCCAACCAATCAGCCTACCTGCTGTTGGGATTGATCTTCTTGTATGAATCATTTTTATTTGTCAAAATTATAATCTTAAATGGTTTCATTAAAATTGAGGTACCTGTGGTTGCTTAATGAGACAAAGCATCTTTTTCTTATATTCAGGAAAGATTTGCAAATAAATGTTGGGAGGGGAAATGGAGGGTTGCAGTTTGTGACCAACTAAGGATAAATATAAAACAGGCAGTATCAGGTGTTAATAACATAGAAAACATGGAAAGTACATTTTACTGATAAAGATAAGTATCAATTTTCATATATATGAAATAATCTCATAAAGCATAGTGCAGAAAAATATCATACTCAAAGTGTTGTCATGAGGTCTCATTTTGTTTCTCTAGTTATACTGTTCTTAATTTAAAGTTGCAATTTACGAATGAATGTATTTCAGGAATAGGAAATATTTCAATTATTTCCATTGGAAGATTGATAGTACTATAAGTGGATCAGGCTTTGCTAAGAATTCATGATGCAAATGGTATTTCTGCATGTTTCTTAAAGAAATTAATTTAAGAAATTAATTTAAAGATTGAAAACTTTGATATTTCATTTGCCTAATTACATAGTAACCTTTGGCATTTCCCAGTGTGTTTACAAATATGAACTAGTTTTATTTTTTATACCACTGTTTTACCAGTTGGTCAGCTGATATAAACAATCAGTTCCCTGATTATAGAGGACCTCAGCTGTGATCCTTCTGCTCTATTGGTCTCGCAGAGTACAAATGACGTGTTCAGAGTTTCATACAATTCCACTGTTAACAATTAAACTGATGCGCAACAAGATTCTAACACCAAAGTTTTCAAATCTATGGTATTCTCAACGCTTATCAGGAAGGTATCACTTGTGTTTCATCTTGTGTGTTATCTTGAATGAAACTGAAAACATGATTGGTAACCCCTTGATTTTTTTATAGGATTGCGTTAAAGTCCTGTGTTGCTTTCAGTGGTTAGAAAGCACTTAGGAAAACTTAAATTCTGTGACATAAAGACCAATTAAAAATAGTATTTTACCAGAGTCCTTATGGTAAAGACATTCAAATTTCCCTGTGACTATTGTGAAACTAAACAGAAAGCAACTTATAGTAGACATTGAGAATGTGAAGTTACAATATCATCTTCTTAGAGCAGGTTTTCTCGATCCAGCCTGCATTTCTCATTGGCCAGTCATTGTGTTTCTAACAAATATTGTTACTGGTTGCAACATCAGAATTCCTTTACAAGAGAGCAAGACCCTGAAGGTGCCAATAAGCATCACCACTAACTTTTCCGGGCCATGCATACTCTGTCATTTTCTGTTATCTAAGTATTAAGGGATAGGAAGGGAGGAATGGGTGATTAGTGGGACAATTAATGTTGTGAAACCATAGATAGGCTTTAGTGCCTGCAGCACATATTTCTATATGGGGTACACAAAGCCTTATCATAACTGCTTGCTTGTGTAAGTGTAAAAAGAGTGTGTGTCAGAAAATCAGAAAGTATTTTGAAGGTACATTAATTTGTATTACAATAATGGTACAGTATATACACGTGCATAAATATATCCATATATTAATATGGATAATTAATATCCATATATTAACCACCACCATTTTTTTCAGATCAGTGTTAGTTTTAAATATAGATTCAATCTAAATGAAGCAAACATTTGCATTTATTGTTGTTGCTTCTGGCACTGTATTATAAATATGCTGGGTTGGTTTTAGTTTAGTGGAGAGAGGGTTGCAAAATTAGGTCAGATGTCATCAGAGGAATACCTCCTGTAGTTGTGAATCACTTGCCAAAGTGATTAGATATTTGTATAAATGAGATATTTGTACAAATATTTGTAGACACATGCTCAAAGGAAGAGTTTTAGGGTCATAATAACTTGGAAGGGGGATTATTTCATTAAGGGGGGACTATTTCATTGGATTCACAGGTAAAGGTTCCTTATATAAATTGACTTCCCTAACTCAGTATTGAAATGGAAGAAGGACATTTCTTACTGTGTCTCCTTCACTGATTTTGAAGAACAGTTTCGTGAACATTACTATCCAGACGTTGGAAATAAAGCCTTAAAAGTTTGGGCTGGGTTACTGTACACAAATATTATCTGTACATTGGAAAGCCTGCCTTGGAGCATTGGCAACTGAGGAGGAAGTTTTAGGAGTCTGCTTATCAAATGTCTATATCACTTGGGGCTATCAGCTGATTTACTTCCTCACATTCTGGTATTACTTATCCTGCTAATAACTGTAATATACTTTAGTCAACGACACCAGGGAAAAGGCAAAACCTTGTTTTGTCCCCAGCCAACTCCACACATTTCTTTATCACCAAGATACAACAAGGCAGCTATAGGTCTCTACCCTGTGCTCACTGGTAGGGGCAGCCTCACCTCAGCCAGGCCTATCTACAAATTCCAGCTGTTCTTACAGGATGCAATGATGTTGGGCATTTTTTAAAGAACGACTTTGACATATTATCTGACATAGGCTGTATGATTTCCCTGCAAAGGCATACAAAGGTACCCACTGGCCAGAGTGGCCATGTTGTCCTTAACATACCCTATGCTCAGAATACACACGACTGGCAAGTTTTCCTTGAACCTGGGCCTGCTTCTGTGTTACACCAAATGCAGCATAGACAAATTCCTCTCCCACTTTTTGGTAACCTATTAATAGACAAATTTGATGTAAAATGAAGAAAACTTTGCTTGGAGACTGTCCCTTCTTTCTTTTTGGGAAAACCTGGCCATACGTGGGAAAAGATTCCACAAGATTTCTCAAAGGTAATGGCAATTGCTTGTTCTGGGCATGGCCTGACAACCTTACGCATATTACTGCTTTTAAACAGCTGTAGTACCTATGTGTGTACATGCATACATCTATACACAAACACATGCTTTCGCCCCCCCTTAATGTTTTCATTATTTTATTTGGTATTAAGATGTGTCCTCTCTTTATTAACACAGGTTTTCCTTCAGAATTTAGGATAAGCAGAATTTCAAACTCAGTTTTATTTTCCCTGGGTTTTATTCCCCTGTGTTCCTGTACCAAATATTGTTATGTCAAGTGGTAGCTTAACCCCGTACCCAGGATACATGTACATTTTTATCATTGTAGCCCACAATTTAGCTGTCAGTTGGATGGTAATTTTATGAGTACTGTGATTTTCTTCATAGAATTTTACAAATATGAACTGATCATCCCCATTGTAGCATTCACATAGTAAATCAACAACTGTTGTCGTAATTGGTACATGGTAAACTAGAATGTCCTTTTCTGTGGTATTGAGCATGACCACAGATATATGCTACAGATCTGGTTCCCACTTTCTCCACAAAAATTTAGATCATGCCTCTCATTCAGCAACATTGCAGTGGAAGGACTGAATAGTTCTATAAACATTTGTGGCCCTTTAAACTTGGAATGCATATCTGCCCAACGATGGCTTTCCAATAAAATACAATAGAGAATATTTCCCTTTTTGACTGAAAGAAATGTCAAATAGGGTTTTATAAAAAAGGTTCAGAACTTCACTTTCAATGCTATACAGAAATTAATTTAACTCTTCCATACCTCAGAAAAAGAAAAATAAGAATACATGGAGAATTTATATTAATTTTATTTAAATGTATATGATTTCAGAAGATCACTTTTGTTACTGCAGCTGTCAAACTGTATCTTTCTAGATCTGTATTTGTAAAGACACTGTCTTGCCAATGGAGTAAACTATGAAATTATGAATAATATAACTGTTTTGTTTTGGTTTTACAACAAAATGTCCCATAGGATTAGTGTATTAACACTACACACATTAACAAATTAATCCAGTACCACAAATCTGATGAGGTTTTAGTTCAAGACAGGGATTTCTTTTTTTTATCATTATTTAATTTTTTTACATTTTAATATGTTTTTGTTCCTAAGGTCTGGGAATTGGGAACATGTTTTATGTTTTTTATGAAGATGGCATCAAAGTAATACAACCAGTGGAATGTGAATTTCAGAGACATATTAAGCCTAGTGAAAAACTCCTCGGTTTTCAGGCAAGTTATTTTTAAAAATCATTTGTAGTGTTTTCTCAATTATATTTTTCTTTAAAAAAAAATTATTGCTAGTTTAGTGTTTTCTGCTTGACAAATTCAGACATGTTTTCTCAATTAATAAGTAGCTTATGAATTCCTGTATTTTCCTTGATCAAATTAAAACTTTCAATCTCCTTTAGATTGAATATTCCCTGTAATCTTCTCAAAACCTTTATTTTCTTTGGCTGTCTCTCTCTTTTCCCAGTCCTCCCCTTTAACAGCTCTCTACTCTTTATTTCTGGTTTGTTTGTTGTTGTTTTTTCTCCCTTCCCCCCCAGATAAGTGCATCTCTGTGAATCGGGGATTGATTCTCTCTCTATTAAATATAAGATCTAAAGTTATTATTTTTAATGGTTTCTTTTTCTCTACTGGATGTTTGCCTATATTAAACTGTCAGCTATCATGAGGCAAATCCCTATTGGGATAAACACTCTTACAGCTCCACTGAAGTTAGTAGAGATGATTGATGCTTTGACTCCACCATACAGTTCATATAAATAGTTTCAGTAACTTTATTGTTAACAGATTTATAGCTGATTTCACCAAATCCTGTGCATTTATGGAGTAGTTACCATGTGTAGCATACAAAAAACCAGTAGTGTATTCTCCGCTTCCATGTTTTTCCTTTACTGATAGACATATTGCTAGCTGACATGATCATGTTCTCACAGGAAACACACTTGGTACTAGTCACTACATTAAGACTTGTTCCATATGATCTATTACCTTTCAAAATTAATAACTTTTTCTCATTATTTGGATTTGAATGAGTGACCTTGAAATACATAATAACCCATGAGCTGTACACTTTGGGTTTTTCCCCCAGCACCTGAAGCACACTGAAATAACAGCAGAACTGTCTCAATGGAATTTGCCTCTTCAGTTATCATTATTGATGTCAAAGGCTGCTGTACTCAGCAGCAAGATTTATTTTAGTGTGAATAATTATGCTTTGAACAGCTAATCATACCTTGATTTGTGCTGCTTAAGTGAAATTAGGTTGACACAGCCAAAAATAAGCCAAAAAGCTTTTTTATGGCTGTTTAATTCAAAAGCTGATTATATAAGAAGCCTGTTAAAATTTTATTGGTCTAAAGTGCAGCCTAGATTTTAAGTGTATTTTTATTGAAATGTGGTAATAATCAGGATGGATAAGTCAAACTTGTTTCTTTTTTGTAGCTTTCAAACTTAAAGTAGCATAATAATTATATACTCTGCCAAAGAAAAAAAAAAAAGGAAAAAAGAGAGACCAGGATAGTAAGCTACTTGATATACTTGATAACTTTCATTTTAAAGTATATATAGACTTGTTCTCCTTTGGATATCTTTGGTTTGTGGGTAGGTGTGGTAAATATATAGCCAGAAAATAAGGTTTGTTACCTACATGCATGTCATTCTGCCTATTAAATTCAATACTTCTACTTATTCCCCTGAACACTGAAAATATCTTCCTTCACCTATGGGGGTTAATAAATCTTTATTCCTACAAGAGAAATCATAAATATTTGGAAAATACATCATGCTTTTCTACTCATAATGACATCATTGTTCATTCTGCATTCCAAAAAAAGAAAAAAAAATAGTTTTCAGTAAAAAATTTTGAAATTTTGAAAAAACCCTTTAAGATTACTTTCCTCCTAGAGGAAGGATGAAACACAAGTTTAAAAGAATTCCCTACATATACTGCTAATACTATGACAACAGTAGTGTATTTTTTAAAAATTGAATATGAAGTTTTAGACAACAGTTTCCTCCCTTGAAGAATATCTGTCTTCCTTAATCCTGTTTGGAAAATCTGTTTTCTCTAAATAAGAATAATAAAATTACTCACTTCTGTCCCAGGATCAGATTTTTATCAAGTTCAGCATGTGTTTATTTACTGGTAAGAGTTCATGTCTTAAGCTGCTCGTTAGTGATTCTCTTTGACTCTCATAATTCTACTAATCAGAGATGTTGGTATACTGCATGTTTTGTGGTGGCTTTACATAGCCTTTCACATCTATGGCATCTATTGCTAATAAAAGCTCCATCACTTATCTCGTAACATATACCTAAGGAAAATACATGCTTGCTTAAACCTCTCCCATTTCTTTACACTTTTCTGAATTAGATGTTCAAGTAATAAATAAAACCCCAGTAGACCTGCTTCATTGCCAAACATTTACTAAAATGTAGGAACATTTCTAAATTCTGCGGCGCATTTTAGGTACTAGAAGTGTTACAGAAAATGTCTGGATATTACATGTGATACTGCAGTGTTCCGCCCCAGGTTTCCTGTTTGCTTGTCAACAAAACAAATTACATTTAGCTGAGCTCCTGTAAAAGAATGAATTCAGGTATTTCTACATGGCATTGCATTGTATTGTGAACGAATGTATATGTTTAGGTATGCTAATTTTGCTAAAGGTAAATACAATTTCTCAATAGCTATATACTTGAGAACCCTTATGTAAATATTTAATTGCCTCTTATGCAACTGAGTGTCAATACAGCAAAGCCCTTTAGTGGGTGTCTAACATGGGAATCAATTAGACTTTCATTGTGTTTAAAGTGAAGCAGGAGATTTAGTGCTTTACTGGATCATCATGGTTCACAGGAAAGTATAAAGAGCTTTTTCCTCTCCTTCCCAGAATCTCCTAAATTACTTGAATCTTCTAAATGAATATCAAATGAAAGTAGACTTTTATTAGGCTGATAGTGACAATTCTAGATGCATCAGGACAGAAATAAACTTTCTGTTTTCTGATGTGGGTTATTGTTCAGTTATACCAGCTTTGACAGCTGTTTGTTTAACCCGTTGTCAAATAAGATTCTTAAGCATGGTCCAAGTAAAATCTTCCAGCTATTAAATGTCTCATCATTCTGAAGTGTTTGGGGCATTTTCCTCACTAACATGCAACCTCTGTTCATCTTCTGCATATATTTTCCAAAGGCACTGACATGCCTGAGGGATGCCATCTGGAGGGACCTGGACAAGCTCGAGGAATGGGCCTGTGTGAATATCATGAGGTTCAACAAGGCCAAGTGCAGGGTCCTGCACCTGGGTCAGGGCAAAGCCCCCTGTCAATACAGGTTGGGGGATGAAGGGATTGAGAGCAGCCCTGCCAAGAAGGATTTGGGGGTACTAGTGGGTGAAAAGTTGGACATGAGTTGCCAATGTGCGGTCGCAGCTCAGAAGACCAACTGTATCCTGGGCTGCAGCCAAAGTAGTATGGCCAGCAGGTCAAGGGAGGTGATTCTGCCCCTCTACTCCGCTCTGGTGAGACCTCACCTGGAGCCCTGTGTCCAGCTCTGGAGCCCTCAGCACAGGAAAGGCATGGACCTGTTGGAGCAGATGCAGAGGAGGCCACAAAAATGATAAGAGGGATGGAGCACCTCTCCTGTGAGGACAGGCTGAGAGAGTTGGGGTTGTTCAGCCAGAAGAGAAGGCTCCAGGGAGACCTTCTTGCTGCCTTCCAGTACTTAAAGAGGGCTTATACAAAAGATGGGGACAGACCTATTAACAGGGCCTGTTGTAACAGGACAAGGGGTAATGGTTTTAAGCTAAAGGAGGGCAGATTCAGACTGGATGTAAGGAAGAAATTTTTCACAGTGAGGGTGGTGAAACACGGGCACAGGTTGCCCAGAGAGGTGGTAGATGCCCCATCCCTGGCAACATTCAAGGTCAGTCTGAGCCACCTGGTCTAGTTGCAGATGTCCCTGCTCATTGCAGGGGGGAGGTTGGACTAGATGACTTTCAAAGGTCCCTTGCAATCCAAAGATTCTATGATTCTGTGAAAGCCTTTAAATTCTAATTCTTATGCAAAAGTGTTTTTAACTTCCCTTCCCAATGAATCCCAATTACAATAATTATTTTAGGAGGCTGGGGGTGGGGAAAGAACCAGTTGAAACATATGCCTTTGTTGAGACCAATGGAAAAATCCTTTTGGTTTCAACATAATCCTGATTTCCTTTTTATTACAAGAACTAATGTATAATGGCCATATTTCAGTGAATGTGGCCATCACACACTTAAGTTGAATATGTCATGGAGATGTGAGCAAAATACTTAATTTCAAAATAATTAATGTGACTATATGACAGAACAAAGTTTCCACAGGAAATGAACTTGAAACACGCTTGTTAGTCCACAGAAATTGCTTTGTTTTACACTCTTAGAGCACAGTAACTGTAGTAAATGCAAGATTGTTAACCTTTGTTGAAAAAAATGTGAAAAAGGTCCACAGTCTGATTTTTACTACAGAATGTCAAATAAACAGTAACTTAATATAGAACAGGTGATACATAAATTCATGTCTTAATACATGCACAGTTATAACCTGTTGATATCACCTTACTCTTAGACAGTTATAGCATAGATAAACATTTCATTATACTGCTTAAAGAGCTTGAATCAAATCTTGTTAAAACACTGAGGACCCTTGCATTAAGAATTTGCATAGAATAGATTCCATATATGTAAATATAAATATTCCACATGTAAATCTACAAGTACATCTTTTCTCTTGATAATTTCTTGCCCCAGACTACATAGAAAAACTTTCTCTAGTGATTTATTTTCCTCCATCTGCTGACTTGTTATGGGGCAAGTCACTTTTTGGTTGAAAATCTGGGGGAAAAAACAATGAAATAAATTAATGTTTTATCAGATGTTAGCTTCTGTCAGAGAGAATAAATTAGGAAAAAGTCAATTGCTCACATTTTAATTAGAAGAATAAAATAGTCATTTTATGCTTATATTTTAAGGAGGAATTATTAAAACCAATTACCCAACCACTTGGGAAATTAATATAGAGCCTCAGAATTACTGCCTGTAATGTAAAAGAAATCCAAATTGTCTAATCGGATAAATGTTAACTTTTCAAAAGCAAGATATCAGTTCCACTGATTGAAGATATTTCTGAGGTATCTAGATGTGGGTTTCAATAACTAGAGAAAAAAATGCATAAACTGATTCATGCTGGGGAAAAAGACTCTATTTTGGATATGAGAATTTTGTTGCATAATTTTCTCCCTTACTTTGGAGAAACACTTTTTTTGATTTTATTTTAATTTTTCAGTTTTTGGGGCAAAGTGAAAGTTGGCATTGGGTTATAGAAATTTATGACAACTGGTTCTTCTAGAACCAGTAAAGTGCATTTGTGTATGCAAATTAAGTTTTTACTTTAGATCTGAGAAAGTGCTGTGCTTTCTACTTGCTCTATTTAAAGTGGAACAAGTGAAGCAAGTTTTATGAATTATACAGACAATAAGAATTATGCCCTGTAGTTTCTAATTTAAATATATATGTGTGTATGCATTTATATACATATATATATAAAAACTATAATTATATTGCTTTTACATTGAAATAGTATTTAGAAATACACTTCAGTCAGTATTTTAGAATCAGATTCAGGAAAATGTTTAAGGAGGTGGATTAACTCTGGATATAGTTATAAGTGCTTAACTTACAGTGTTTTCCTATTCTGCTATACTTCCCACAATGGGAGGTATAGTGTAATAATTTACACTAATCTATATAATGCTGTGTGAGAGAAATCTAGATTCTTTCATCAGGAGGTGATATTTTTGAATAATTATTTTGAATAATATATAGGATATGTTCTTGTAGAATTCACAGCACCAAAAACTGGTGTAAACTCAGTCCCTGAGAGACGTGACTGAAAAGGATTATACAGTATAGAGTTGTTATAAACTTTTACAGATGCATTATTTGTAGAAGCTGTTGTCTGAGGAAAAAGGAGGACTGTGTACAGTTATCTGTTTAGATAAAACATGGTACTAAGACAATGAGTATTTAGAATAAATATAATAACTATATAATTATATAATAATATAATTTATTTAGAATAAATAAAATAACTTGAGATCAGTGAAACAACTTCCCAATTGAAGTGACAATTGCACAGAAGGCAAATGACAACAGATCATTGATGTGATGATTGCACATCCTATTAGAGATGTGTTTGTTTACATTGACACTTCACTTTATACAATGGCTTTTAGCCACATTTAAGAATGAAAGTCCCATTTCTCACCATGCCTATCATTCTCTAAATAAACAGATTTTAAACAACATCTGTCTTCAGAGTCTATGGCTTTTTAGCAGTGCAGGATAAATGTTCCTCTTTTTACTTATTTCTGAGTTCTGCTGAAGTTCCTGATTACGTGCCATCCCATGCTACTGAGTTTAGTAACCTTTCCTTATCAATGTGATTTCTGAAAGACCTTCCCTTTATTGAGGGAAGCAGTGGCTTTTGATCTCCTGTAAAGAAGCTCCCTCTGTTAGAGCTGGAAATCTATTTATTTCTTTTTTTGACATATAAAGATTGAGCGTATTTTCTCAAACGTAGAGGCACAGCAGGTAAAGAATGTTGATGATGCAGAAAAATTAGTGTTGAAATGCATCCTCCTCTTCTTGAAAAGCATTGCTTAGTGCCGGATATGTTGTTCTGTCACATTATTTTCCTACTTCATTTTAAAAGGAGTTTGATGCTTAGAAACAGAATTCTTGTTTAAGATCTCATCAACTCTTGCTGTTCATCCTACATTGAAGTCATCATCTGCTGACATATAATTATTTCCACAGCGACCAGTTACGATATATCAGAGCATTCTAAAATTAGGAATAAGAAGCCGGTAAGTGCTAATAAGACATAATATTTATGATTTGGTGAAATTGCCCCTTGTGATGAAAGGAAGAAAAATTAAGAAGGAAAAGAATAGGTCAGGAAAACAGAAAAGTTTGGAACATGCTTTACCTCTCCAAGCACAATATTTTTCAAGTCCTTGTTTTTACTAAATTTGATGCCCATTATAGTAAAAATCATGCTATTTCATAAAGGGAATTTTAAATTGGTAATGTATTTGATCAAGTAACTTTTAATTTTGATAAAAGCAAGTTTTCACTGAGAGTAAATAGTTGCAAATAGTAGAAATATAAATATATGATGAGTAGGAATATATTTATATAAAAATATTAATCGTGAGCATATAAACTACAGACAGCTATTTTGAGTGAGAATGCATATTTATAAATATATGTATTATGAAACACAGATTTACTGAAGTCAACAGGAATTTTGCTTTTTTTTCAAATTCATCCTTTTGCAGGGATGGAAGGGCAGAGGGGGAAGGAATGATAGTAAGCAGCCATTTGATTTGTTTTGCATTTAACACTAGTGAGATAAGTCATGAGAACGTCTTCTGGCAAAAGCAGCCAAGCTTCTTGCCCTTTGAAGCAACATGTCAGCATTCCACGTGACTAAAAAAGCAGATCCCTCTTAACTATTGCTGCTTTACCCCTGTACCATGTGACAACTTGCACCACACCTCCTCTTCCTCTGCATTTTTACATTCTTAGCTGCCCCATTTAAGCATTTACCTGCCTTATTGCTGCGTTCTCAGGTGTGAGTGTAAGCCACGTCGATGACTGCCTGCCTTTGCACGACACTGCGATGGTGCGGGCGGGGGAGCTGCTAGCTGCTGGACAGTGATGAGACACTGTGCATCTAATTCGTTTTTCTGTTTTTAAGGTCTCCTGGCTTTTGCTCACTTTCTTTCTACGCATATTATTGTTTCAAATGTGTTTCTTTCTCAGAACAACGCTACTAGCTGCCTGGACGTCTAGAAAACCTCCAAAAAATCTGGTGTATGGTTTACACCAAAGTGCTTGTGAGTTGTGTGGTGCTTACAACATGCAGTTTGGCTGACATTAGTCTATGTCCTCCTGTCATCTGTCCTTTTTCCTTCCCTAAATTTTCTGGTATTTTATTTTGCAGTTAAGAAAGAAGAAAAAGAGTATTATTTGTCTTTCTATTGCACTGTTGACTCTTTTGATTCCTATAATTTCCTGTTTTTATTGAATTATAGGATGAAGTTTGTCCCAAAGCAGATGGAGAACCTGTTCAGCGGTGTGTATGGGCAGCTGCTGTTAATGTTAAAGACAAGTTCATTTATGTAACTCAGCCCACGCTTGACAGAGTTCTTATTGTTGATGTACAGTCTCAGAAAGTTGTACAGGTACTTATTTCTCATTTTTAAGTTAATATATAATTTGGACACAAAAATTTAAGGTTTTCCTTCATATTTTGGAAAAAAATATGCAATTAGCTTGAGAGTAAACACAGTATCTAGAAAAAAACTGATTTACTTTTGACATTTAGCAGCAGTTTAGTGACTGCTCTTGTCAGTAGGCCGTTGGGAGGGAGAGACTCAGCATGAAAATACCTTTTGTTTCCTCAACTACTTGATTAATATTTACAAGTTCTTTGGGAAGTTTCTGGCTTGAGGTACTTCTCACTTGAAAATGAAGATGCATTAAAATAGTCTTATCACAGGAAAATGTCTATCAGTTTTGACAGGCAGGGTCAGGGGGTTAAGTTTGGCTACAGAAGGTGGAGGACTGTTACTCGGTAACCTTTTTAGACAGAGAAATTCCAGAAGGCCCTATGCCACCCTTAGCCAAGACTGGAGACTATGAGTCTCGGAGCCTCCGGGGCGGAGGCTGGTGCCGGGGGACCCATCCTGAAGCGGCAAAACCGCGAAGGCGGCAG